ATATATATATATATATATATATATATACGTATAATACAATATAAATATAATAACAATTGATTCATCTGTTCATTCATGTTTTTATAACCATTTCGTGGAGTTAATGCTTTTCGATGATACATAATCCATTCCTCTTTGATCTGCGATCAATTTTATTAATCAGGCAGCCCATGTATTTTCTTTGGATTTCCGGTAACGAAGTTCACTTCGTTAACACCGCGGGAATTCTATTAATCATCACCACTTCTCCGGCCGCTACGCAAACGAAATTCGTTGCTGCCGGGTATCTCGTTAAACGTCACCGGGACGTTATTACAAATTTTATAGACGCGATCCGCCGATACACTCGTCGCTCCGCGCCGCGACGATGCGTTCCTGTTACACAAGCGGAGCGGCGTTACTAATTGCACGTATCACATTATAAACTTTAATCACTTTAATTACTTATCGCATGTAATTAAGCGTTTATTGCTGTTGCTCCTCGCCCCGATCATTCCGGCACTCGCCGTGACGCGCACGACCTTCTCCCGCGCGCCTCCACCCAACGCCCCCGCGCTTCCCCGGCTTTATCCGAGCCCACCCTAATGAAAGTTTGAATCGCAATTTTACCAAATTAAAGCCAGACTAATTGTCAACGTTATTTCGAGGCGCTGGACATCGCTATTTTAATTATTCTTGGTGCCGCGATACGTTTCGCAATCCAATCTAAACGTTCATTAGCCAATTCGAGCGAGTCATTTTTTTACGAGATTACACTAAAAAACATTAAAACTGTTGGAGATAAAACTCCACAAAAATACACAATAGGCGTTCTACGAGCATGAGTTACATAATTCTGAGGTGTGAGAGTGGGGTAGCGAGCGGATCATCGAAGGGCTCTTCGCTTCACCAGAGGTGTGTTCGATACGTAGTCGATTACAAAGCAACGGTTACTGTGTGAACATATAAATTAGATAGACTTTTCTTTGTTTTTTCTATCAATTAAAATCGTTTAGATCATTATATAGAATCGGCTCATTCTTTTATAATAACAACAAAAACAGATTTTGCATTTTAATAATAACACTGATATATCGGATTGATTAACACTAAGTGATTGCCGATTTTAATCAGTTAACTGTGTCGATCATTTTACAAAGTGCGCCCCAGTGTGTGTCGCGATAATCAAGCGATGACGGATATAGTCAGCTCTCAGGAAGTTAGAAATCCAACTCAAATTATCTATAATTTTCATTTGTTTATTTCATTTCGTCCTGACCCCGTAACATTCTAAACATATTAAAATTTACGAATATAATTTAGTTTTCGCCAGAATTACAATTTAAATATCAAATTGTAACAAAATTTTACGCATGACGGATATAGCCGTCATAACACAAAATTCTGCCATTCTTCCATGACGGATATAGTCGTCAAACACACTTAACTGGTTAAATAAGGAGTTTATCGACAAGATCCGCAATCATTTAACTGGCAATCCAATAATAATGCATAATGAAAATGTATTTTATAATCAGCGTTGCGTGACGAATCTGCAACTGTATCTATCGCACGAACCATATTAAATTTCACTTGGTACAAAAGTACTCTGATAAGTAAAGTTTATGACCAAAGCAAAGGGGTTAAATAACTGTAACGTGCAGCGGCACCCGCGCAGTATATTTCGTTACGCAGTTTTTGCTGCAAAAAGTCGTAACGAAGGTAACGACAGGACGTCGTAAGGATTCTTTTTATTTCCACTAGACATTATGGAGGGTTTGAGTGGCAGTGAAACATGCTAACGGGAAACGTCGCAGAGGCACAGAAATAAAGTCACGCACGAATTTGCCAGTCGTTTCATTCCACACGTCCCGGCATTCTTCGCCACCGTGGCCGTTCCTTAAGGAACGACACTGTCTAACGAGCCAGGGCCCGCCGTGTTCCCTTCCTCATTAAAACGCCAAAAGACGTCTTATCGTACGTCGCATTATTGTCGCGCGATTTGACGTTGCTACGTGCTAAACCTGTCAGACGTTAAATAGCAATCATAGTCAGTTATCGGCCAGAACCAAGTTAACGTCGTATCAGCTGTAAGATCTCTGCCAAAAGTTTAAGAAATATGATAAGAAGATTCGGAGTTCTGAAG